AAAAAAAAAAAAAAAAAAAAAAAACTCACTCTTAACCTCATCCCCCTCCGTAACAACCACAAAAGTAAACTTCGTATCCCTAACCACAATTCCTCTAACCCCAACCCTCCCCGCACACCGACTTCTGACAACCTCCATCTCCGCCCCATGGAAATCAGCACTAACCAGCTTACTCCCATGCGACAACGCCGTCACATTAACCTCCTCGAGCTTGCGACTCCCAATATCTAGCACCTCCCGCATATACTCCACCCACATGGCATGCAGGCCCTTGAAAACCGCATACTTGCACTCCTCCTTAGGCAGGTCGTAGATCCCAGAGACGCGCTTCTCGCGCGCAGATAAGGGCCGCGGCTTCTGTTTGCGGAGGAAGTATTCTTTCTTCTGGAGACGGTGGCGACGGCGCCGGTCGCGGTTGTCTTCAGGTGTGGGCGATGTTGGGCGTAAATAGAGGGGCTTCTGTTTTATGCGTTCTTTGAAGAGTTGGGATGCTGTGTCGGGCGAGTGCGCGCAGGAGAGGAGGGTTTCGGCGATGTGGGGTTTTGGGGTGGTCATTTTGTTTTCCCTTTTCCCTTTCAAACTTCTTTTCCTTTTTGGTTCCTTGGAATTGGGGCGCTGGTGTTGAGGGAGGTGCTCTGGGGTGTTGTGGTTGTTGCGTGGTTGGTGAGAGAAATTGTTCTGTTATCGGGACTTTTTGGTGAGCTGATAAGGTTCAATCAATTATCACGAGGGTTGCCTTTTTGGGATGTTAGTGGAGTACTCCATACTCCACGACTACGCTCTACTTAGTATATGAATTGGAGTATACCTTCGCTCTGTTCTTTTCCTTTTGTGTCTGATGTCTATTGATCTTGCGAATCGCTCATATGTTCGTTTGTTCGTTTGTTCGTGGGTTATTTACAAGCATATCTCTACTTCTGAACAACCTAGGAATATACTAGTATATATGGGCTTGTCAAAGGTCAAGTGAACACCATATATGAAGTTCAATACAGTATGGCTACAATCTATATTATATACTTTTAGCAGAATTAAGATCCCAAAGCTCAAACGAATGATCAAAATTCAATTGGGAATCATCGGTTGTCATATGTGTGATTAGTATGTTGAGTTCTCGCACTACTCCTACTCAGTACTCCCAACTCTTGACATGGCTGCAGGCCAATATCCTAGACATCTAAAGATCACCCACCAAACACGACATCTCCAAACATGTCTCCAAACTCAAACCCAAACCTACGACCCCAATGTAACCTCGTAAACCCATCGGCTAGACACAAAACCTCCAAACTCCCCCAAATCCTCGGCTCTCCTCCTTCCCCGCATTAGGGCTACATCTATATCAACATCGACATAGCCAACGTAAACAGCAGGCATCGCCTTCAAAGACCACCCCAAACATATAGTATACACAAAAACAAACCCACCACCAAAATGACAGCCCAAGAAAACTTCCCCGGCCTCCCCCCCTTCCCAGACAACATCCCAACAGCACCCCTAACCCGGCTCTCCCTGTCCAAACTCCTCGCCCACGATGAATCAGAAACAGACCGACTAATGCGCGCATGCTGCGAGATTGGCTTTTTCTACCTGGATCTCCAAAGCACGGAGCCGGGCACCACCCTCCTCAACACAGCAGACAAACTATTCCAAACGGGCACCGAGCTATTCAAGCTCCCGCTAGCCGAGAAAGAGAAATACGATTTCAGTGCCCAAAACTCCTATCACGGGTATAAAGCCCAGGGGGCAATGATCGCAGATAAAGAGGGGAATGTGGACAGAAACGAATTCTACAATGTAGGGCCACTCACCGACTAAGATACGTACATATACTAAGATATGATACGTAAAAAGGTCTCAAAAGACACTATCCTAAACCTAACACCATCTCCCTTCCCATCCCCAACCCTCCTCTCTACCCCTGCAACCCACAACGACCTGAAAACCTTCATTGAAACCTCCCACTCCATAACCATTCTCATCCTAACCCTCCTAAACAAAACCCTCGGTCTCCCCCCCTCCACCCTCCCCAATCTCCACCGTTTACACTCCACAAGCAGTGACCAAGTCCGCTTCATCAAAGCCCCGCCCCAACCACCACAAGACAGCCGCACAGCAATGGGCGAACACACAGACTTTGGCAGCGTGACTATCCTCTTCAACCGGTTGGGCGGATTACAGGTTCTCCCTGCGGGCGAAGACGCGGAGTGGACGTATGTTAGGCCGTTACCGGGTCATGCGATTGTTAACCTGGGGGATGCATTGGTGAAGTTTACGAATGGGTTGTTGAGGTCGAATATTCATCGGGTTGTGGCGCCACCCGGGGAGCAGATGGGGTGGACGAGGTATAGTCTTGTTTATTTTGCGAGGCCCGGGGATGAGGTTGTGTTGAGGACGTTGGAGGGGTCGGATTGTATTCGTCTCCCTCAGGAGGGAGAAGAGGAAGAGATTAGTAGTAAGGAGTGGGTTTTGAGGAGGGCGTTGGGCAGGAGGAGCGGTTTGGAAAGTGTGGATTATGAGAAGTCTGCTGGGACGGAGATGTTGAGTCGGAGGATTAGGGTTTGATTTTCTTGTTCTTTGTCTTTTGTTCTTCTTTTGTCTATTTAGGTAATTGTTTGGTTTGGAGGTAGTTATGGACTTTTTCGAAAGTGGGAGTATATTATGAGAGTGGAATGGTAAGGTAGGGACAGGGAGAATATACATCGCTTAGGGCTCTATATCTATATCCAAAGCATGTACATTATCCCATCCTGGAACAGTCAGATTGACATAAATATTGCACACATTATTTCTCATTAGGCCCCTTTTCCTCTTCCAAAGATGATTTCAGTTTAGCATTTCTTCTTCTTTCACTCCCCTAGAAATTTTAAGTTAGTTTATTTCTCTAATCCAGTCTACAAACATCATGACCGAAGCAATCGATGACATTAGAATAAGATTACAGGGCCGAATTCGCTGACGAGCATCTTGACGCTTTCCCTAAGCTGCAAGGTATCTAACTTGAAGACTCTCGAAGTATTTCAGCATGCATCTAAGATGATGCAACGGTGACACAAATCCTGTTCACGACGAGAAGACACAAACTCTACCAGATACACCTTCAATGAATGAGAGAAACTGCGATCATCGACTATCTGGACAAGAAATATTGCGAATAGGATCGAGTTCCTGACCAAAACAAGTGCTAAGCTCGCTATTGGGGGGATTAGTAGTACGAAATACAATTGTGGTATTGGGAGTAATTTGATCACAAGTGTGGCTGGTCGATGTAAATGGCCCATCAATGCCCTCGGAGCGGGGTTTTGCTGAGTTATCTGAACTTATATGGTGAGTGCCCAGCTTCAACACTATCTTGTGAGTGATATGTTAATCAGAGGACATAGTGAACACCTCGTTGGGCTGTTGTCACTTCAAATGTTAGATATGTTTTATCACTATACCCTACAGTTGTCACTGTGACATAATATAGTGGTCTTCCTCATTTCCGATCTTCTGCGACTCAGAACGTATAGGATCTAGAATTCTGGGACGGACAGATATAGATCAATGATCCCCAAGCCACATAACACATTGTACTTTTGTGTTGTTAGTGCCCCCGACAAGTATGATATCCTGAAGCTACAAACCATTCACAGATCCACACCTATACTCACTCTTGGCCCAACACAACAGGGACTGTCTCATGTTTGTGTTAACACCTCGATAGGCATGGTATATCGATATATACTCTACTTCTCTAGTCAAAATGGCATCTCAACATTTCCCAACGGCAGCTCCAACAAAGACACAGCAGTTACAGACTTGTTTCAGCATCATCTCACCGAAAAAGAACATTGCTCAAGTATGGTGTCTTCAAGTGTTGGGCCTACTTGGCTATCTCTGCCTTCATTTTCATGGAGTTCCTATAAGCACTGGCCGACGTGCTCATGGAAGACCAATTCGAGATTCAACACCAATTCTGATGAGTCTCAATCCAGTATGGACGACCAGAAGCTTCAAGGGACTCTGTCCGACGACTCTATCTCGCCTCTCACCCCGTGGAGTAGTCCTCTGAGCAGCCTCTCTTCCATGACACCCAGTCCATCGACGTCGCCACTGCCGTTCCATGAACTGAAAAGCCCAACTCAGGAAGATGGTAACAGCTAAGCTAGTCTTTTCAACTTATGTACGCTCTGAGCTGACGACATATAAGGCATCAGACCACGCTCTACCGTATCGTGTGAGAGCTATGTGCAGGGCTGTCGTTTGGAGCTTCCTTTTAGGGGCAACATCTCCCCCAGTCGCTGCGTGGCCAAGTCCGCGTTGGATATATTGCAAGATATTGAAACCAAGAGGAACAACTTCTTCACTGCCATAAAGGACGTCGTGCTTCCACTTCTGGGTGACAAGGAGCGATTCTATCAAAACAGGGAGGCGTCATTTGCCAGTGTGCGACCATACGAATCATTGGATCCACAGCCTATAGGGTAAACCTGACATCTAGATATTCTCCGGAATTGACAGCAGACTGACACTGCAGCTTAGGCTTCAATCCCAACTGAAACCATACCAGCTTCGAGGGCTGTCGTTTCTAGTGTATCTCCGAAGCAATGGCATTGGTGGAATTCTCGCAGATGAGATGGGTCTAGGAAAGACTATCCAGACGCTTGCACTCTTCCAGTACATCAAAAACCACGACAACATTGTGCGACTTGATGAGCCTGGTCCGTTCCTAATTGTCTGTCCATTCAGTGTGATGGACACATGGCTTTCAGAGATAAGCAAGTGGACACCGGAGCTCACTTCAATCAGGTTCCACGGAACACCAAGCAAAAAGGAGGCAGTCAAGAAGATTCTGACTCCTACCAGAGCTAAAAACTGTAAGAGTTCGACATATGCGGTGGACATTGTTATAACATCTTATGAAACCTTGACCTCAGATATCAGATGGTTCCGAAAGCTCGTATGGAATTATGTTGTTCTTGATGAGGGTCATCGCATCAAGAATGATCACTCGCAGAGGGCACAGGCAATTCAACGAGTAAAGGCCGAGTACAAACTCGTTCTCACGGGGTAAGAATACATCTTGTAGGCACCGTTTGCTCAAACGACTGACATTGTTGGCAATTAAGGAACCCAGTACAAAACAATTTGAGGGAGTTGTGGTCAATATTTCACTGGCTTTTCCCAGATATTTTCGTCCCATGTACATCAGAGCCTTTTGAAGAGGCTTTTTCGCTTGGTGACGGGAAATTCGATCCCAAATTCTTTGAGCAAGTCCAAGGATTTCTCAGCCTGATCATGCTACGCAGGGTTAAGGAATCCCCCGAAATAGGGCTCTCAGTTCCTCAGAAGACAGAGACTGCGCTATCAGTACCTCTGTCAGAGTTCCAACGTTCCTTGTATTTGAGAATACTTACCGGCATAGAAAATTCTATGCTGGGAGGACACGGCGGCATTTCATTCGAGCGGAAGCATCTAATGGCTACAGACCAACAGTCTAAAAAGAGAAAATACAGGATATTGAGCAATATTTTAATGGAGCTGCGCAAGGTGAGCCATAAAATGTCACTCGGTCTGCCGGTTTAAACTAATTCGCAATCCCAGTGTTCAATTCATCCGTATTTGTTGGATGATGCGATTCCGGACCCTTACGAACTCGGAGCACATGTTATCACAAACTCTGGAAAATACATTGTGCTCCTTAAAATGGTTCATTATTTTGTGCTAGAGAGAGGGAAGAAAATAATTATATTTTCGAACTTCAATCAGGCTTTGAATCTTTGTGAGGATCTTTTGTTGACTATCCAGAAGAACGTCGATACTGTAAGATATGTTCGTTTAGACGGAAGCACATCTAACGCACGACGGAACCTCTCGATTTACCTCTTCCAGAATGATCCTAGGTACATGGTCTTTCTGATTTCGATAAGGGCCGGTGGCGAAGGTCTCAATTTAGTTAGTTCCTCAACGGTTATCTTCTTGGATGAAGACTGGAACCCACAAGTTATGCGACAGGCTGAAGCGAGAGTCCACCGAATTGGACAGAAACACCCGGTTAATATCTTTAAGCTCCAGTCAAAAGGTACTGTGGAAGAACAAATCAGCCGTCGCATTGTCAAGAAAGCATATGTTGCCACCAAAGTCATGGAAGATATGACTGCGGCACATGATATGAAAGCGTTCGCAAATATGATTGATTCTCGGGGACTAGCCTACGCAATGGATACGGAAGACTTGTCCGCATTGGTCTGCAGTCGAGCAGTTTTGGCGTCTAACCAATTGAGTGCAACGGATTTGAGCTGGTTTAACTGGGAAACGATCTTCAAGGCATGTTCTAGCAACCAGGTTACTGAGCTGAACGGGAGAAACACCGGTATCAACGTGTACCAAGAAAAGGCTTGGCTCGCGTGCACAGAGCGGGTTAAAACCAATATCTTCGACGGGAAAAAGGTCGACACAAGATTCAGATCATCTTCTATGTATGAATCTTTGCCTAAGGATCTCTGTCGAGCGGATAGACGCATTGGAAAGGAGAGGACGATGATCGACGGATTCTCAGTAGGAAAGGACAGTATCCGACTCGAGACCCTTTCCAGTAAGAGAGAATGTTCAAATCTGCCACAGACGGACTCGAAGAAAATGACGCGCGAAGCTGTAAGTGGCGATGCTCAAAGTCTTCAAGGAGGTCTCAAGGCTAAAGTTGTTCCAGACATGTTTTTTCTGCCGGAAGTTCAACCCTCAGGAGTGCGATTTATGTCCACTGGCATTCCACAAAAAGCGTCTCGAGTCGATAGGCAAAATGCGCCGTGGCGGAAAGAGACTTTTATGCCCCCGTCACTATTGTTCGCAATGCGAGAAAACAAGTAGCAAGGCCGGAGGGCTCTTATACTGCTGTTCAGCGTGTAGTAGAGCATTCTGTGAGGAGTGCTTGGATTGGTCACAGACGGACTTCGTGGGAGAGAACCCTGCACATGAAGCTTTGGGATATTTTCCTAAAAGCGTTTTTTACATAAAATGCGCACAATGCAGTGAACAGCGAAAGCGGCGCCTTGATTTCGGATCCGTTGTGCCGTCCAAGAAAAGGAGATGGTATTGATGTACGGACATCATCTACATTGTTCCAGGAAACTGAGCGGTTAGCAAGGATCGTGACAGGACATTCATGTGCTCAGAAGCAGTTTGTTCATCGAAATTGATGTGGATCAAATGATCAAATGAAGGGAGAAACAGAAACAGAGTAGTCGCGGCTAAAGAAAGCCCATGGATGTCTCACGGATAGTACTTTGAGTACCTTCCTAACTGGTTATCAACGAGTACGTCTGGTATCACGTATCATTTTCAATCCATTAGCTGTAACGATTCCGATCGCCTAAGGTACTGGTAATTCTCATCCACATCCCAGTGCAAGACATGGATGGAAATTTCCTACTAGTATGTACATGCCCACAAAAACGTCGAGCTGCATAACGACTGCAACGGTAGACGGCAACAGCGTGTATGCGGCGCCACCAGTCGGCAAAGGAGCAACTGGGAGAATGGTCAACACCAATAAAAGCACCGTATTACAGTACAAAAACGGGTCGGGCCTTACCCATTAGAGCTCCCAGTGCATAACACCCTAGGCGAGCCATCAATGCATGACATGGTCCCATGTCATGAAGCAGACAGGGATTCCATGAAGAAAACGGACCAGCGAAGAGAAAAATTTCACCGAGGACCCCGCCACTCCCAAACAAGTGGCACATGAATTGCCCCCTCGAAAAGTGGATCAATATAGACAGGGAGTAAAGGTATATAGCTAGGGATGTGTTCCGCGGGAACGATCCTATTTGTTTCCGTTGCGCTGGAACTTCACAGCGAGGCCATGCGAAGTTGCCTTCGACAGAGCGTTGTTTGTTGTTCTTCTCCACCCAGTCGGTAAGGAATTTCCTCCCAGAGAGCGCAAATTCGTCCAACAAGATACGGGATGAGCAACATGATGGGTCCAATCAACTCATTAATTGAGACGGTCCCAACAGATGAGTTGTTTGCGTGGGGATCTGCACGCATCCAGAGCCTTGGGGAGACGACAACGCCATTTCCAGCAGTTGATTCATCTCACTGGACTGCATAGGTCCGAGTTCGAAGCTAGGCAGCCATACAGCGTCCTCATTCTTTGGGCTGGTAGGTGGATTGAATATGTGCCTCGTGCGTCGTGTTGGAATTGCATACTGTAGGAAAGTGGACCTGCATCCCACTCCGTTGCTGGGAATGTGTGAAAATTTATACATGGCTCTCTTCAATTCATGTTACACAGCATGCCCCGAGGAGGAAATACAGGAAGTATTCATGGATAATTCGCTGGAAGCTCGCGCGTTGCTGACAGAACCGGGCAACCCCGATGCAAGGCTCGCTGGATATTGCTGTCGGCGGTTGCCTTCTCGCCCGATGCATGCCTACTACGATGTTTCATGAGCGTGTACATCTTGTCTGATCCGTTGTGCTAGACAAAAAGAGAGGAGTCTATGGAGCCATATAGAAGATCATCATGGATAAACTTGGGTAACAGAATTAAGCGTTGGTCATGTCTGAATTTACCCGGTGGTACCAGGTAATACCATACCCGACCACGATACAATAATACTTCGGTTAAGCCAGTTTCTTCCCAAGGAAACTCGGCGGGTCACGGACCGAACCGCCAAGCGGGCTAGTTCAAGAGTTCCATGGTACAAGAAAACGATCAGAAACCTGGACAGAACGAGAATAATAACCTCATATTTCGAGCTACTATAATAATAATAACACCCTACTAGGATACTTATGACCACCACAACAGACTGAGAAGACTCCAGAAAATCCTCCGAAGTTAAACAGCATAATAGGGAATGACCATAACGTTTTCTTTCTCACCCCTGGTTTTAGGTGATCATCAAACGTGTGGTATGGGTTGTGTAACATTGTTAAAGGTAACAGTTGCGTAATACAGGTGAAATAAGCATAAACGCAGCAAACGTTACACAATAATGAACTACTATACTCCGTACACATGGAATACTTGAAGTTTCCGAATCAATGGTTACGATGACGGAATTTCTTTCTTTCTTTCTTTCTTTCTTTCTTTCTTTCTTTCTTTCTTTCTTTCTTTCTTTCTTTCTTTCTTTCTTTCTTCTTTCCTTCCTTCATCTTTTCGATCCTTCCCCCCTTGCTTTTTCTCTTGTCAATATTCAAATACCACCCGAGTCATGACAGCAAATCCCACCAACAGATCAACAATAATACAAACCACCATCCCAGAACACACCATATCACCAATATCAATAAAAAAACAACCCCATAACTCGCACAATATACACCAATAAAACCCACTCCAAACCAAACCCAACACCGTTAAACCTTAAACCACCCCACAACGCCATTCCACCGGAACCCTCAATCCGACCAGACTGGCCTCACCACAATCAGACGATCTACCACAACGACACCAGAAAGGGCCATAGTCGGAGCGGCCCGAGCACTCTTCGCTTACTCGGGGATTTCCAGGACCAGGATACGGGCGGAGGGGAGGAGTTACACTAGGTGTATTGCATTGGAAATAAAGTGATTACTTTTACTATGTTTATACAAGTTGTGACGCTAGCTGGAACGGCGTACGCCGTAGTACGGACGTGGTATGGGTTTCTTTTTGGCATGGAGATCGATCCTTCATGATGATATTGGGCGGACAAGGAACTGAGTCAGTTGAATTGGGCTTGCTTGCTCGAGCTGACTTAAAGTATATGGGTACTCTGTTGAGAAGCTTAATTGTGGATCGCCGATGGTCGGTGTACATTTCGGGGACGCTGGAAATGCTAAATAGGATGTCGGAATTGGATTCCTGGGTGGTAGTGTCAATTCCTACAAACTTTACCGGATACCTACTTTTGGTTGGGAGGGATAGCTATTCGCACAGCAACTGGGTGAGTATTTGGTCCAAGAAGACAAAGGGGTGCTAGCATTACCTACTTAACAACCTTCATCAGATAAAAGCTTCAAGAGCGGGATACAACTAACCAGTAACCCAGTCTAGTTCGACTATAACGTCCTTATCAACCAAGCCCCTTGCCCCTACCAACATCACGCTATTCAACTCTGCAACCTCCCCCTATCTTAGCCGATGGGATCCCAATTCTTGAGCAACACTGAATAAAAACGGAGATCATACTCCGTAAGCTCCTTGGCACGTCAGTCAGTCAGTCAAAGCGTCGAATCCTAGCTAGTAGCCTAGATCACGTCTCATGAGAGAAATCAGATGTGAGCAGGAAAAAAAACAAAAAAGTTAACAGACCTATAATTCGGAACAGTTCCGTGACCCGGGGCGCTGCGTCGCATGTTTTGAGCCCGTCAATCCCTCCAAGCAGATCATGACCATGTAGCCTATAAGCCTATAATACATGCAACTAGTGAACTCATACTCATAGACGCCCCGGGTCCGAGCATCAGCCAACCCGTCAATCTGGGAACTGTCCGAAAGAAGTGCGTGACAGGTGGCAGGGCAGGCAGACAAGCAGACCACCAGCACCCTGTCCGTCAGTGTCATAGTGCCTCGTTGCCAAGCGGACCCGACACTCCAGACGAAGTGGGCGCAGTACATGTCGCGGTGGGGATGGCAAAGTGGGAAAAATCCTTGCCCGTCCAGCTGGGCTGCAGGATTCCACGATGCATCAGACGGATGGCGAGACGGGATTTGGTCGGCATTTGGATGCGCAGAGAGAGAATTTGGAATATGCTCGTTCTTTGTTTGTACTTTCTTCTTCTTCTTTTTTTTTTTTTTTTTTTCTTCTATTCTTTGCTTCTTATGTCCTTGGGAGATGAGTAGGATTGGTGATACATCCCATATCTACTTCTGACTACACACCCTTGTACAGGTTCCCATCGCTTAGTATGCTGTCAGCCAACATAACCATAATCATATAGTTTACCCAGCACTACTACCTGGTACAGTACACCCATTACATACAGTACAGTACCATACATTATCGCCTTTATTAATTACCCACCTGTAGGGCTCGAAAGGTCCATAACACCGGAGTTTTCCCGGTACGACCGAGTTCCACCGACGGAATTAAACGGTCGTTGGCTTGAATCATGCCATATACCAAGACCCAAACAAAAGTCCAGTCCTTCTATACCAAGTATACTAAGTGTACTATCACAGTACTAAGTGAGTGATGTGACCTTTTAGAACCCCTCAATTAAAATGATCTTTTGACCCAGATCATGTCCGACCGTTATCCCGCGCGGGACCACTATGATGGTCTTTCCCCACTTCCTGGCTCTAACTTCCAGCCTGTCTATCGCTTCAATTTAGAGAGGTGGCTCGGATTAGTTAGCCCCTAGAGCCACTTTAGGGTTTTTGTTGACAGGTCCAGTGGAGTCTAACGGTTTTCTTCTTGTGAGAGCTCACCGTTGGCTATTTATTATACTCGGGTTAATTCGACCAATAGTAGGTACGTAGAAGTAAGGGAATAACTGTAGGAGACCCGACCGTCTGTGTTTGTCCCCCCGGTTCCAGACCATGGGGATAATTTTAGAGCGTTGCGGGACTATCGTTCCGAAACGGTGGGTTCAGTTTTTTTTTGGCCAGACAATCGTTGACAGATGAGCTTACCTGCGCCAATCGTTTTGTCTGGGTTTACGCTAGGAGGTGGAGGATTGTTACGCAGCTTTTGTCAGTCATCCTTCTCCTAGTACTACTACTGATGGGCAGGGCGAGAGTTAGGTAGTGTTTCCAAATGAGGAATTGATACGGAGAGATTCCGTAGGGAGCCTGCTCCACCGTACCAAATGATATTGTAGTCAGAAAGGAGTGGACAATAGTAGTGTTGCTATAGTGAGAAGAGAAATCATGCCAACACCGCACAGGCGTTTTGAGACAATTAAAACCCCTCCAATTGCATTTCTAGCCAGTGCTGATCGTAACCCTTAATCGCTCTTCCACCCGTCTCACTACCTCCGGGTCTGGTTCTGGCTTTTGTTTCTTGGGTCTAGGACGAAGTTAGTGAAAAAAAAAAAATAAATAAATTAATAGCAAGAAGAAGAAGAATAATAATAATAATTGGCCAATCTGCCAAGCACAAGAGTCCAGAGTTATACATCATTTACATCACTGGAACCAACACATACATATAATAAAACAAAAAAAAAAAAAAAAAAAACGCACGTTTAGTAAATGGGGGTTCATATGCAACGACGTACGGGTCTCGTATGGTTTCCGAGCACTTCTCCTGACCACAATTCAAGCAAGTCTTTTCTCCCGACCGGTACATGGTCGAACACTTATGACAGGTGTATCGCACCCGTAGACGTGGTTTCTTCCACGTGCGTGCTGGGGGTTCTGCAGGAGGTTCCACATCTCCAGGATAACCATCAGGATATTTGTCCAATTTAGCCCTAGAAGTTAGTCAGTAAACTGTCGCTATCATCGGAGTTTCGCGGAAATGGTTGTCACATACGGTTCTCGAGGACACTTCTTGCACCGGGTATGTTGGCAATTCTCACACTCCGTGGCGTCCGGCGCGAACGTCGTGCAACAACGGTGGCAAGTGCGACGTATTCTCTGCTTGACTTCTTTGCGTATGACATCCTGGCCGCCGGTACGGGATGGGAGTGTAAGCGGGGGTTCTTTAGGTTTGCGCGACGCATCGGCCGGCTCCTTGCCCTTCTGCGAGAGGATAGTTTGGAGGGCGGACTCGTTTTGATGATCATGCGACGACTTATGCGGCGGGTAGCGGGGGCACTTCTTGCAACGGACATGCTGGCAGTTGGTGCAAAGCTTATCGATTCCGAACGTAGTCTGGCAGCGGTGACAGGTGCGACGAACTCGCATGCGAATCGGCTTGGCCACACGTTGAACCTCGGTGTCGGTGGGCGACCTCCATTCTCCGGGTTCCAGAGTCAATCCATACTTGGCGAACAGAGCACGAGCCTTCTCCTCCTGAATAGCTCCCCAATGCTTGAACACGGTCGGTTCGGGACCAGATTTGGTGGTGGTATCCTTCGCTGGAGCGGTAGTTGTTTTAGGGGCAGCAGTAGTTTTTGGACTGCGCTCAAGTTAGTGCGCTCATAAGTTGGGAAATAAGAGAGGGGGGTTTGTCGTACGGCGCGGACTTAGACGGTGAAGCTTGTCCACTAGTTTCCTGAGAAGTGGATGCAGATTCAGACTTTGAAGATGAGCCTTTCCTCAACACCGTCCTCATTCGTTGGAGGTACTTCGCAAATCCCTCTTGCTTCGCCTCATTGGGTTGTTTCGGGGGCCCTTGGTTGGACATGCTGCTTGGGGTTTTCCCGGGTCGATATGTATATAGTGATGTTTTAAATTTGGTACAGTTTCTGGGTGTCGTTAAAGTTCGGGGACAACATTGGCAGATAATATTCTCTGTTCGTATCGGCGGTAATTGTATTCGCAATCGATCGTTTGTACTGAATTTGGTTCACAGCGCTCTATCCTTCTATATCCTCCAGGGGCGGCAGAGTTGGCGTTATCCCACCTGTGGGGTGAAGGGGGTGAAGCGAGAAAAAATAAATAAATAAATAGATAGAAAAAATTAAAATGAATAAAAAAGGTGAGGTCGGCTGAATTAAAACAAAAAAAAAAAATATGAGACGATTGACCAGTCGTCCGCGGTGTTCAAGCCGGGCACCTGCTGGGAAGGTGATCACCCGTGAAGTCGTGGTGGTTGAAGTTGATCGTTAAGTTTATAGTAGGAGCAAGTCACACAGAAGAGTACCGAACCACAGGACTGGGAGACCCAAGGAGACGGTGAGGTGCAAAACCCAAGGCGCAGGGTCTGCAATGGCAAGGAAGTGGGCTCGCTTGATTGGCCGAATGGCGGTCAGATCCAGTGGTGGACTGGATCAGTCAAATCCGAGGGAGAGGTCGAAGGTGGCGGCAAGTTAAGTACCTTAGCTTTCGATGGGGTATGGCGAGCTATATACGTCGTTGTGAAGACGCGACCAACATTAGGTAGCCAAATCACCGGGAGAAAAAAGAAATAATATCAGCGCACCAGCAGCGGCGGACCGAACGATAAATAGAAGCCGGATAGGCTTTCTGGGGGAACCGGATGAGCGAGAGGGGGGTGGGTACTGCTCCGTATGGGCTTGAGTCTAAAGGGAATGGCCCATGGGTCGCACTTTTTATTTCAATCATTTTAATTATAATTTTGTTTTTTCTCTTCTCTTTTCATATTTTCTACAATTTCTTACAAGATTCATAATGGTCAGGATAACGGATAAAATCATATGAAAATTCATCAAATAATTCCAGAACATCGAAATGACATTCGCCATTACCTATCTGAATCATTACGTACAGTACAAACAATCAGTCAAATTTTGCACCATCTTAAATTCCAATTCTCTTCATGATTCACAATACAAAAAGGAAATCAAAAAATGAAGAAAAAGAAAAAGAATAATACTCGATAGACTTAAGGTTCGGCGTTGACACATGGATACATGTACCAAAATACTGACCCGTAAGAATGTAAACAACAGTAACAAATGGTAGAAACAATAAAACATAATAATAATTAAAGAAAAAGAAAAGAAAAGAAAAAGAAAAAAAACCCAAAAAGCTAGGATAATATTTCCACTTTCCGGATTGCCGGTTCAATTGGTTGGCTGATCTAATTCCCTCCGCCAGTCTGGCGCGTAATAGACTAGCAGAGTATGAAGGAATTTTTGTTCAGGTAAGCTGCTGCTGGGGGGGGTTTCCGTTGGTATGGCCCACCTGTCTACTAGTATGTATGGAATGTAGCAGGCGAACCAAAGCGACGGAGCCATCGCACTAAATCATAGCGCTGTTCCCGCTCGGGAACAATGCCCGAGCCCAGAGTTTGACAGTCAATCTAAAGGTCCCATTCCTGGACTGCCTGGGCATAGGATATGGCGATCGTGAGACATTGGTGAGGGCCTGAGCTGTTGGAGTTTGGCCTTCTGTGGTTACTAAGCCCTCTGCCAATTCAGCACCGTATGTACAGAGCAGACCGAGACCGTGGTTCTGGATATCGGTAAATACGGCTGTATGAAATACAGTATTTTATTGTCAGCTGGGTCGGTATTATCTTCCCGTATGTATGTACATGCAGTTTACTAATACTTGCTTGAGATCTGGATCAATCAGTCCATGGCTGATGCCGTTCATCGTAGCCGGATAGGAAATAAAGTTTGTATGGTAATGACTATGAGCAAGATGATCCCTCGTATCATGCAATTGTCCCACTGGGAAGGGTCGTGGGCGCATATAATACCCCGTCTCATACTTGAATGCTTCTCTTCCGTCCTCCGCGGAGGATATACAGATAGCCGCGGATGATGTAACATTCGAAATCGAGGTGGACAGCACGAATAGTCTCTTCAAATCATATGGGCATCCTGTCAAAATGAGATCATCGTACTAGTGATATACCCAGTTGCCAATTAGTAATCTAATCAAGCAAATGATCATAAATTACTACGTTACTACATCCATACCACACATCGTTTCTCTCCTGACGATAATAGTAGACTAACTATTACTACCGGCAATCGACCAGCCGCCGGCCTCTCCCCCCGCATTAGTTCTGTTTTATTCAATCATCCAGCCGACCGCGACGAAATTAATTAAAGGCCCAACTAACTGCACATCATGATACCTTCGCATCTTCCCCAAATAGGAAATTGTAGTGGACTCCCACCGGAAAGGCCGGGGAGAGAGTCTTCAGAACACTATCGTCCACCATAATGATCAACAAACTCCCTAGTAGTTAGCTAATCCACGCTTTATTTAGTAACCGAGGACCTGACAGCGTCCATGCTCAGAGTATAACTCAGAAGGGATACAATACCTCCCTCTTCCCCTATTCCACCTCACCTTTATCCCTAGATGCTACGTACATACACCGAGTGTTGCATTGCTATGCATGTCCTATGCACCTCGGTGTAAAATATATCAAAATCTTCCCCTGAACACAAGCTACGGCCGCCACGATGGTACGAAAACAAAAAAAAAAGCCCCTCAACAGCCCACGAGCACACCAGCGACCGAAACAGGACAAAGCTCGCTGCACGATGATGCAAAAGCGCGCCCCAGGAGCCCTTCGCCACGCAAGGACAAAATACCACCTACTACTCACTTACCTTAATGGGGGGCCGCCATCCTAACGGTGTCCGACAATCATACAGGACGGTGGCTGCATTCGGGACCCGGATGTTCCTGTTCCCAGTCTTAGTCCTCAATCAGCTGGAGTTAATAATTCATCACGCCTTCCACCCCCTCCCCCTTGTGCACGCACGAGTTTCCGTACCGTGAAAGTCGTTAAGACTTAAGTGGCTCACTAACGTGCAGCATTCAGGTACTAGAAGCAGTCTCGAAGATACTTATGTAGCCACTAGTAGTAGCCAATTTGTATTGGGGGTTATGTGACTACTAGTATGTGTGCTGCTGCTGTTGCTGCAGGTGTCCCATCCGAGGTCAACGCCCGCCTACCCCATATGCAGGCTGACGAGGGCCGGAGAAATTTCTACCCTACGGATTTTTTTTTAGGAGACTTCCCCACCGGTTTTCCAGGGATTTAAATGGGCTGATATTATTTTTCAGTGATGATTAATCGTTTGATTTAATCTATATAGATTGTGCCTTATGAATCAGGTTGAGATTGCCTGAGTGAGTATTTCCACAAGTACGTACCTCGGTCAGCAGTCAACTTTCGTCGATGTGCGTTGTTCAGGCGTCTAGACTACTATGGAGTCGTGGAAACCATTGAAAAACGGTGGTAAAACCACATTCCACACATCTTCAGCAATCATCAGCATCTCCACCAGTGGAGTATTGTTCCCCCCGAATGGACCACGGTGGTCAGTGCCTGAGAAGTGTGACCACTGGCCAGGTCACTGGGACCGGTCCAGACAGGGGTATTTGACTCTAGGTAACTATCAGCAAGTGGAGACAAACACCCAATCACATTCATCAAGAATTAGGCTGATTGACGATGAAAGTGGCCGAACAATTGCAAAGTTCCAACTCCTGTCCCAGAAAGTTCTGGGTGGCAGCAGCACGACCAGGTGTCAAGTGTTAAGGCCTCTAATCTAACTCAGTCCTGGGTCTAGTCCCGGTACACGGTCTCCACTGTGGAGCAGCACGTAAGAATTAGTAAGGGATTTGGCTTTCTGCTAAATCGTGGTTCCATGTGTATCATTCATGCGATCAGATTAGGCATTTATTTGTCTGTTTTGATCCGCTCCATATATGGGAATCCATACTACGAGTCACAACTATGAATGAATTGTAGTGCATGCTCTGTTGGAATAATATTTCACTCTATTATGAAGTCGAGTTATCATCATTCCCAAATGGACTGTTTCCTGAATTATCCATGATTATATACAGCTCTCCACCACGGTTAATGTGGAACATAGGATGTGGTCTTAGTCGATCATGATACGCAATATCGCTGTCGTATCCGTTTTGACTTCTATAGGCTCGAAAAAGCGGCCAGTATGCACTTCTCTGATACGTGCGAAACTTACAAGCATGATCGAAGCATTCTCGATGCAAGCTGTTGCAGTAAGAAGCTGTAATGTTTTCAGGTTTAGATTTGTATTCTCGCAGAAACCGAGCGTAACAGAGAACACATACTTTAACCAAGAGACAAACGACCCGCCTCTAGAGCTTGACATGGCCTAGGGGTATACCTGCAAGTCCAGTCGACATGTTGAACGGCAAACGGTTGACGGCGAATCCCAGATGCCAGAAAACAGTATGTATGAAAGCTAGATATCGAGCTCCTTAATGTGTATATCACCGCGACTACCATGCGTGTTCTGAGCCACACGAGTGCTCCCGAAGCAATTGGCCAAGGTCTAGGACGTAGCCAATGCAATTGAGCTTGATACCAATATGGCCTCAACCGTGCCTAACTGGACTGCTGGCTGTTATTAACCACATGAGAACGACCATGTGCGGAGCTTGGATGTTCTGAAAGTGTGAATACACTAACGAGTATGGATGGAATCTTACCGTGCCCTGTCAGCTTGACCTCACGAAGCCGGGGACATGGCACGACCCTGAGCCTGCTAACATCACGATATATTTTTCAAGAACGCCAGAGTGCATTACCTGGTAGTAGATTCTCATCCGCATAAAAGATTCCAGGTTTCGGTTGAAAGTATATGTATCGCTTTACCAAACCAAACATCGCCGTCATCCATCTCGAATATATTAAAGAGTAAATAATGTCAAGTGCATAACGCCGGCCGTAAGTAGAAGCGCCAATATCATGAAGTAGTTTAACAAATAAAACCATCTACCCAGAATGAACGTTTGGGCTCAGTCCTCACTCTGCAGTTTCGATTCGATGGAGATAATGTCATCGTCTTCCTCAACTTCAATCACACGATTGACTTCTGCGGTGTTACGCATCAATTCGACGGCACCAGCGTACATCATTCGCGAGTTTGGGTTGCAGTTCTCTGGAAGCCAGTACAGAAGGACGTAAGGAACCGAAAGGCGACCGGATTTCTGCCATTAGCCGGTCAATAAGGGCGGAAGGTAGCATTTTGTTATGGACACTCACCAGCGTCAAAGGATAACTCAGGAGGATGAAACGGGGTGATGAGTCAGGGAGCTCATCGGCCAGGTCTTCCATCTTTGTGTACACTTCGCCATCTTCAGGACGAATCTCTTGATTCTTTTGGTCGATGATATCTATCAGGTTGACCGTCAATTTATTATACACTCGACATCTTGGTGACAGACGTATGAGAGAATGTGAGCCCTACATATTATAGCCTGAGGATCCTTTGCTCTAGAAGTTCCCAGACGGAACTTGCGCAATTTCTCCTTCGTCTCCGGAGAGAACGCATATAACCGAGATTCAGAAGCCTGTGGTCCCCGATATCGTCAGGGGCGCAACGTTTACGAGGGGGAATGCGGGGCAATCTCACCATGTTGTAAATGCCCAGTCCAGACCAAAGTCAATTATAGTCGGTCGTTACCAGGAGGATCGGAAAGACCGTAAAGCCTTCTGATTTCTCTATTTAGATCAGGAATTCTGGCGCAAAAAGTAACACAAAAGGAGAAACGAGCAACGGTAACTAAGTGGTGCTCCACGTTTTTGCGGAAAGTGGGATGAGGCGGAAAGGGAGTTTTTCCCCACTCCACTCCAAAAGCCGTCATTTGGTCGCCCTGAAACGTGCCTGAGGTTGTCCCTCAACTCGCCCCCGACATCTGGTTTCCCTCTCTCTCTCTCTCTCTTCACCACCACCATTCACGCTTCTCTCCCTCCATGTTCAGTCGTCTTAGTCAGTTGACCCGTCACCTCGCTCGACCGCCACTCAATTACGCTTCCACTTCTCCGGTCGCCCTACCGCCCTTATCGATATCTCAAGCTCGTGCCTCCAACATGACATCATCCGCGGTGCATAACTACACGAAAACGATACACACAGCAGCATGTCTGATCATTGGTGACGAGGTGCTTGGCGGAAAGGTGAGTATCAAATCGAATGGAATCGGCCATTCAGCTCTAGTCCCCAGCCCATCTACTACACTTTATCCGCGACCCTCCCTTTCTCCCTTGCCGCTGTTGCCGTGTGCTGCACCGAGGTCATGTGCCCTGTTCCCCAATGTAGTGACTGATAGTTGGAGTCCAAACTTTCAGACAATTGATACCAATTCCGCATATTTCGCCAAGTATTGCTTCTCCCTTGGGATTCAGCTCAAAAGGGTAGAAGTCATTGCCGATGACGAAAGTGAAATTATCGAGGCTGTCGGGCGCATGAGCAATAACTACGATTTTGTGGTGACCAGCGGAGGCATTGGACCGACGTCCGTATACCCTATTCTTTTCTCTCGGAAGATTCCACAGTTCCGAAGTCCGTCATGCTATACCAGAAGCTAACCATACGCCCCTTACGTTGATAAAAAGCCACGATGACATTACGTATGAGTCCATAGCCAAGGCGTTCGGCCTGAAGTTGAAACTACACCAAGGCGCTTTTGAGCGTATGAAGACGCTCTCCAAGCCTCACCCAATGCAACCACAATTTGACTGGGACGCCCCATCGCCCGGTCTAACAGCCAAGCTGCGCATGGTTGAACTTCCCCACGATGATGCTCTGTCGGAGGAGCAGCAGGCTACCTTCGTGGCAGATGATATGTGGGTGCCAATCGCCATTGTCAACGGTAACGTGCATATCTTGCCAGGCGTTCCTCGTCTGTTCGAGAAACTCCTTGAACATCTGAAGCCTACTTTGCTTCCTCGGTTAACCGACCCTGAGGGCAAAGGCATTTATCGGTACTTATTTAGCACCCCACTACCTGAGAGTGCTGTGGCGCCTTACCTGACGGACCTTGCGACGAGGACATCTTCACGAGGTATAAAGGTTGGTAGTTATCCCCGCTGGGGAAAGAAGCGTAACACGGTAACTTTGGTGGGAACCGACAAAGATTTCATGGATTCTCTGGTCTCGGAGGTCGAAGAAAACGTCCAGGGCACAAGAGTCTCGCAGGAAGACGAGCTTGACCCCCCTTCTGATGCAGAAGAAGGTAAATAAGGAAACCGCCGATGATGCAAATGTACATAGATTTGATGCAACTGTCGATACACGCTTAGACATTAACCATGCTCGAAGCATATAACTTTTGAGCAACCGCACACACAAGAGTTTTTATGTCTGTCCAGTATTCGGATCGTCGCTTTCATGCTGTTGCGCGGTTAGGTAGATGCGTTCAACCAAACTACTTATAAGTGAGAATAGAAATATGATGTATCGGAGGTCAAAACTACGAAGTTGGAGCACTACGTTCTTATGAACTAAAACCTGTGTTGCGCTGGAAGTATCAAACAGGATCATATTCCTCATATCCAAAAAGGTGCTCCAATCGGGCACACAAGCTTATTTGCAACCCCCCTAAAAGGCTCTGAAGATTAATCAATATTTTCATTGAATGGGTAAAACCAAATTATTAAAGGAAAGAAAAAGAGCAGATGGGACGAACTACCTTCAGGGCTTGCCTTGGCAAAAACTGGAAATGAACAGCGGAACCGTAAAAAGAAGCCAAGTCTAAGGATAGACAACCGCAAGGTCCAGCACTGGAGACCCATACTACCCCAAGCCCCGATATATTGGTTGCTGGCGATCTGGGGCATGTGTTCAGACAGCTCGTGTCCTTGCGCGGAACACCGATTCAGAGATATATTCGAGAGAAAAGCAAATTGCCACACCAATGCCCAAATGATGAAAGGAAGAGAATAGAACAACGCAAGATGGGGATGTTGACCCTGCAGAAGATCGCAGACCAACAGCAATGAGGATAAAGGGACGAAAAGCGATGATTTTGCAGCTCAAAATAACCAGAATGAAAACCATGACAATAGCATGTACTTATATAAATGCACAGATCTACTGACAGGGTTAATTCCTCGTTCTACCCAAGGACGAGATCGTCAAGAACAGTCTTTCCATAGAAAAAATAAAAAAAAAATAAAATAAACAAAAAGAGAACAAAGGGGGAATCGAACGTTCATGGAGATGATGACGGCATCATGGAGCAGGCATCACATCCGATAGCGAGTCTCGTGTGGTATAAATTTCACAATCCAAAAAGCGTCGACAAGCCACAATTAGCTCCGAGGCCGTGGCGCTATTCTTGTCGCCAATATCTCGTTTTCCAGTCGAATTTTTATTATATGTTTTGCTCCCTTCCGTATCTCGACTCGTTTGCTTATATCCTTTCCAAGTCCAACTCCTACCCAATTACATTATAATACACTTTCCGCAGCAACCCGCACTGTCGCTGGGTTCGCTCACGTCCATTTTGCCCTCCGGGGCGCGATTGCCGAAGGCTCCCGAGCCTGATGGGTACGACGACATCTCTTTGTTGTACCGACGAATCTCACGGACGAGGTCGTAGAATGCGTTTTCGACGTTGATGCGAGATTTTGCGGATGTTTCAATAAATTTGCAGCCAAACTGTCTTGCTAGAGCTTCACCCTCTGTTGATAGACAACCATCAGTCACATCAGCCATTACAGTGAGAGAGAGAGAGAGAGCGCGCGCTGGTTAGCTCATTACCCACCTTCTACTGTGACGGCTCGCTCCTTCTCTAGATCGCATTTATTACCGACCACGATGATAGGGAAGTAATCCTTGTCCTTTACTCGTAAAATTTGTTGCTGGAATGTCATAATCTCTTCGAAGGACTGGCGCGACGTTATGGAGTAAACCAGAAGGAACCCTTCACCGGTTCGCATGTACTGTTCACGCATTGCCGAGTACTCCTCCTGTCCGGCCGTATCTAAAACATCCAACAGAGCGACCTCCTCGTCGATGACACACTGCTTGCGGTACGAATCTGTTTGCCGGGTTCCGATGAGTGACCGGACAGAGCAGAGGAATTCTCGAAGGATAGGAAAGGCGACTCACCTTCGATTGTCGGGTCATATTCATCGACGAAGTGACTCTGAATCAATTGAATAGTCAAGCATGACTTTCCAACACCACCACCACCAACGACTACCAATTTGTATTCTCGTAGAAACTAGAGTTCGTCCAAAGGTGAGTAACGTAACTTGCGCCATGTTCTAAAAGGGGCATGATGGAATCGGGAATCGTTGTTGAGCAAGGGGAGAGAGAGGGAGATGGAGAGACGGGTGCCAGGGACGGAGTGTCGGGGAGAACAAGCTTACCTTTGAAGCCATTCTAGAGTCTTCTGCCCGGATGTGTGTCTGATAGGGAGGATGAAGGGCGCGAAAGCGATGATCGAAGCTATCCCGACGGGCGTAGTGACAGCGGGTCGAGAGAGCGGTAGCACAATTTTCTTTTTTGCAGCAGAGTCAACAGTCGGGGCTAGCTTGTCGGGAGTTTCGCGCAGAACAGAGGCGCCTAAAAGACAAGTCCACAGCAACGGCGGGTCTAGTGAGTTCAACTAGGCCAAGCTTAAAGGCGGATGGGGGTTGAGAGAGGATCAGGGGGGCAGGAGTTCGTGGAACTTCTGGCAATCGGCGGGAATTGAATGCGAGGCGGTAGGCCGTTTCCTTTCGCTATTACGGAGCAGAAACCCGACTTCTCTTCTAGTATTTCCAAACTAAGCCCGAAAAAATTAAAAAAGACAAAAACACAATCAAACCGTTGCTCCTTTTAGGGAGGGTTTTAGGGGAAAAGAGATGAGGTGGAGATTGAGAGGGGGGAAGGGGGAATGATGATTAAGGAGAGTTTAAAGTGAGCAACGGAGGTGGGGGATTAATTACAGATAGGGCCAAAAGAGAAGAAGAAGAGGAAGAAGAAGAGGAAGAAGAAAAAAAAGAAAAAGAAAAAATCTTAACACAGAGAAAGCAACATACCGTTTTTGTTACTCGAGATGATTCAGTAAGAGTGAATTACTTTAGGGTTCCTTTTCAGGGAGAGCGGTGGTCAGAATGAGTGCCGATTGGAGAATAATAACAACAATCAATAAAAAGATTCATGAAAGGGGTCCGTCCTTTTTTTTTTTTTTTTTTTTTCCTTTCTTAGTTTTGGGGATAGTAGGGGGGGAAAAGAAAAAGAAAAAGTGGGTGGCATTAAGCCATCACTGCGCGTGTGGTCAACTTCCGAGACCATTATTCATGTTTAATTACATTAACTAGTTGAAAGCGATTTGCTTTCTTATTAACAAACACACCCCCTTCCGGGAAAGGTTGTGATAAATAAGAACTTAATTACCTGCTACAATTCCAAAATTACTGATGACAACTGTGGTTGGTCGTGAGGAAATGAAACCCACCAATACGGAGTCCATGGGAGATAATCATTATGGGTTTAAAAAAAAAAAAAAAAAAAAGTAGGGAAAAAATAGAGAGAGCAATACTCGACACGAGATGAAAGTATCTGGTGGTTGATAGTAGTTACATACTGCCCATGAGTCGATACGGAGTAGATAGAACAGAGAAAGGGTAGAAGGGGGGGAAATAAAAATAAATCAAATCAAATCAAAAAGGGGCAGAAGAGGAACCGCGATGCAAATTATTCGCGTTGATTCCTTTGGCTCCAGTCTCTTTCCAACCTCCTCTGGGAAGGAACCCCAGCCACAGATTAATCAATCTTCACTTGTTCCCACTTCTTAGCGCCAGTCCATCTGAACTGAACGCCTCTGAGAAATTCATCCATTGTTCCATCT